CTCTAGTACTTCGCTGAAGAATTGGACTTTGAAAACTGGGATTAGTCATTTGGTCAAGGGACATGAAATAAAAATGCCAATATTCATTTTCATTAATTTATTAATCCGAGTTTTTCATATTTTTACAACAAATTAGTTTGAAATTGTCAACAGCAGTCCGTCCACGCAATGTTATGTTTTCAGTTTCCGGTTCGGTAGCTTTATGGAACAAACTAATACGTAATCGCTGCTTTCTATTATATTTGGACAGGGATAGCGAAATAAAAATGCTAAGATTCGTTTTCATTCATTTATTAAGCAGAATTAAATCAGATATTTTCCTCATTTCAACATTGGTTAGCACGTATTCGTGAATAAAAATCTCCAAGAAAGAAAAAGCTTTTCATGAAGAGATAAAAAAAACTGTGTATGTTTCAATATTTTACCAATGTAACTGAATTTTTTTCTCATGATTTCGAAAAATGCTTCAAATAAAAGTTATAGGTACTGCTATTACCGGCAAAAATGTCGTATACGATTTACTTCTATCTCGAATAATTCAGGAGTGATCGATTAATTATTTCGTTCATCGCCAAATATCTCTCAACGAGTAGAGTTAGAAGAAAATTGTATAGAACCTTTTTTGTATCTGAAAACTGTAGCTACAACTTTTGTCGGAAGCAAGAACTGCAGATTTTTTCATGCTACACAAAGTCCCATAAGGCTGCCACTCTTTAGTAATCCCTTCTCAGAATCTCTTCTCTTGTCAGTGATTGTACGCTTTATTTAAATCTCTATTGCATGAATTCGGAATTTAAGTATTAGGTATATTGCACATTGAAGACAATTATAAATTTAATTAGCTCCGAAATTTGTTTATTAGTTTAGTAGTTATAAACTTTTGTACAGAACGTGAGTAGTTGAAATGCTTGTATAGATGTTTGTATATCATACAATTATTCAGTAGAAATAATACCTGTCCTTAGCAGTTGGAAACACAAGTCTTAAATATTTAGGTATTCGAGATACAATGAAAATTCAACTAATCACTATTTATTTCAGTATAAATTCAAGATCAACGTAAATCGTCAAATATAATATATCCCATATAACTTCTTATTTTTGAAAAAACTGATAAATACGACAATATACAATAAACCAAGGAAAGTAGAAAGAGTAAGAGGGATGAAAAGATATGACGATAAAGTAAAAAGTTGATCAATCTACGAAACCATCATAAAAGTATTAGCAATGTATATTTTGTATCGTGTCATTAGATTTTATTCATAAATTCATTTTGATTGAACATATTGCATCGCTATGGACGCGTGCTTAACGCCACGCGTACAGTTATCGATGATTTTCATAAACCGTACATGATATTAAAATGGAATTCGTTAAACAAAACGAAAGACAAATATGATAGGTGGTAAACGGCGACGATGAATAGATGATAATGGTAATGGTAGTGACGATGAAAAGACAAATAAATGCTTGGAATATTCGGAAGTGTGTCTTAAACATAAACAATGATATATTTTAAAATATTGTAATTATTCTCCGTTCGAGAAGAAAACACTTCGACTAAATTACGTCAACGTGTCAACGACAGATATTAACAAGAGTTTACAGGCGCAAATTATTTTCAATCGTTTCTGAACTATTCGATGCCGGCTCGAAAGGAACAATTCGTAGAGACGTGATCTCTAGAAACTAAATGGACGGGTGAAAGTCGAATATTGCCAATGATGTTTTATGTACACGATTAATGATCGTATCTTCATCATATTTCTTTAAATCTCTCGTTCCCTAATAATTCAATCTTAACCTAAATACATTTAATAATATACTCTCACTTTGCAGTATCGTTTTTTTTATACTTCCGTTTTATTTCTCATTTCATTTTTATGTACTTTAGTGCGTTTCTGAGAGATTTCAACGTACAGTGTTCCTTCTCTTCTCTAAATTATGTATGTGTTGTATGTATTTTTTGCACTTTTTACTTTGTCCGTTTAATTGATGTTATAAACAGTTTGCCGTTTAGTTATTCTCCCGTTCAACGACGCAATGTTAAATGTATGAAATATACACCAAACAGTGTTCGTGTGGGTATATTTTATACAGATACAGGTTTTTGAACATAAAGGTGTAGAATATGTATATCTCTCTTTCTCTCTCTTGCTACTAACGTTATCTTTAATGTGTAAATTGGCTTTTTGGCTGGTTTTATCAATTTGTTTCTCTGTTTATATGCACGTATATGACACCGTATGTATACTTATTATACTTATTATATCCTTTCCCACCGTCGTACCTCAATGTACAGAGTAACGTTTAATATATATTTTATTTTTTATAATTCTTTTTGTTTGCTAAGGCATTCGTTATGGCAAGTATATTTTAAGAGTGCTGATGTCTAAACGCGCGTGAATACTTATAGTTTTTTTTTTGTCCCTTTTTTCACATTTTCACAGTTTATAAAAGTATATTTTGGCCAGTTACGTAATCTCTAATTAGCCAGCTACGTGTCACTTAAAAAACGATTCGTTCGTTAGAAAAACAACTAATCCGCTTCGTAATGTACATATGTATGCATTCTTTTTTACGGTTTTTCTTGATGTCATGGTTCAACACAGTTCGCGGCATTAAATTTCAATCGCGCGTTTATAATCGTGACCACTAATTATTTTCTTCTTTTAACTCTCTATTTTGCATGCATCTTTAACCTTATGCTCATTATTCGATTACCTGCAATGCCGTTTTTTTTTTTTTCTTTTAAAATAAAACGTTCTAATCGCAGGCTAGAGAACCGGAAACAAGGCGTATGAGTATGGCGTATATGTTTGAAGAAGTGTTGAATAATCCCATCGCTATTAAGTCTCCCCACGCGCATTGCTTCTTTAAAAATTCATCTGTCTTTTAATATGAACCGTCCTCCCATTTGTATTGTACAATAATTGATATAATAATTGATGTGATCGCGAAAGCTGTTTATTCTGTTTTATTATTTCTTTACTCATTTCCTTCGCGTACGTTGATACAACGAGCAATGGAAAACTTTCATTGGTGTACGTGTGTCGCATGTACAGATTACAGAATGGTAGATTTGTTTCCTATTAAACCCCTCGTCCGAACCAGTTTGCCCATTTACACGTGTCATACTTTTCCTTCGAACATAACATATTTTCTATTTAGCTCGAGCCGCGAGCTGGCCTAAACGAGGTTCACTTTTAATCTTATATACACACGCGCGCATATACACTTACATGTATACGTGAACGTACATGCATAACTGTTTTGCATTCGTGAAACACAAGTACATTTCGACGGGGCGGGACGCGGCTCCTGGCCGGCTAAATCATTTTTTCTGCGAACAATGGTGTAGCGCTTTCGAATAAACATCGAGTAAAACAATTTGATAAATCTCTAGCCACTAGGTATCGTTCGATCTCGCAACCTACGAAAACTGGTACGTGATTCGTTATAAATACAATGCAAAAAGATTTTGTTTCATCGAATCTGCCTCTAATTAGACGTCGTGATAAAAAGGCCACGAGGAAGGTTGCAAAACCAAAGGAATCGATCCTCTTGCTAAAACGTACAATGAAGTGTCGCGCTAAGATTTTTCAATATATGTTCATACATACCGAACAGGCATAGGTAGTACAGAATTGAAGTCGACAGAGCTGCACATAATATCAGGTCGAATCGCGGAATATAAATTCGTTCTGATACCATTCGCAGTGATTCAACTACAACTACACCAATGGGCTTCGTCAGACGACGGATTTACAATCGAACGAAATTATGCACACATGTTAACTCAACAATTGATCGCTTAAACGTCGTTTTAACTCGAACACGTTTATAATCACTCTACTTCTTGTCTTCGAATGATAGAACTCTATTCTCCTCGGAACGATAGGAATACCAGGTCAGTTTTTATTCTTCACGCACTCGATCGGTTAAAAGTACTCTACTACGATCAGGTGAAATGAAAACGTTCTTAAATAGACAATTCTCGTCGAACACTATTAACAGCTCCGTTACCTCTCGTCTTTAGTAAAGGTCTCTTGAAGAAAGAATAAATACTAGCCGGTGATCGAGTGCGAAAAGCTCAAACACCGATACGGAACTCAATAATTGAACGATAGTTCGTAATTGCTTCACTTCATTTTTTTTTTATCTGGTTCCATATTATTCGCTTTTACAATTATTTAGTGCGTCTCGAACAAGCACCTATTATGAGCTCTTAATTTTTATATCCGCTACTACGCTTGCATTTTTTTATGGGGTTGCACTCATCGCTTCTCATCCATTTTTGTTGTCGTCGCTGTTGCTCTTTTTTTTTTTTTACATCGAACAAACCGTTGTTTCTCTGTTTTTTTTGGTAACAAACGTAGCGAATGATGTCTAATTAGAAAAACGTCAAGAGATTCGTACCAGCGCTTGCGTGTAGCATACATACATAGATTCATACGATAAGCGCGATGCGTCCGGATGCACGCTTATGGTGTGAATTTTGTAGAAAACTCTTCTCGTAGAAAATTGACGCTAGGGTAATGTTATATTTTTTATTTCTCTCACACACGTCGGCCCTTTCGCTCGCTCCCAGTCGTACATTTCGCACACTCTCTCTCTCGTTTTTATATTTTTTCTTTTGTTTCTTTACAAGGCGCTACTACGCAGGTTTCTCGCTTCGCGACGACGATGATTTCTACATAGTGGCACACCGCTGGTTCCGATTTTTAACGACCACCTCCAACTTACGCTCAACGATTAGATAAAGAATTAACCCTTTGCACGCGACGTGATAAAAATGTAAATTGTAAAAGTAAGCTCTCAGTGTGGAGGGTCAATTTCCATCGTAATCCTTGCAAATTAACTGTTTACAGTGTAACGCGGCTGAGATCTGTGCAAATTAAAATGTAATTCGATCACATGATACGTATTACAATAGTTATTAAAATTATGCACTAATAATTAGAATCACACAGTTTTTATATTTATCTGTTTAGCGTTACAAACTCTAAGAGAGAAGATTGAAATGAAATATACATCGTTTTGTTATATTACGAAAGGGTTAATTTCTAAACAAGAATTATAAACGATGAAAGCAACGAAGGGGGGGGGGGGGGAGGGCAATACGGTGAGATTAACTAGTTACGCTATTAGACTCGTCTCTAATGAGATTCTACAAGGCAATCGGCTTGTTGGTGATCTGCGACGACGAACATTTAATATCTTCGACTTCGTTGTTTCAATCACTTATGCGTGTATGTATGTATACGTGTAAATATGTAACGTGAGTGTGTCTGTGCCCGTAAGGAAATTAATGTCGGATTATAAAACGCGAACATCTAAATATTCAGGTTCTACAAGACATCAACGAGCTAAGGAGCCAGTCTTGCGTGTCACCCTGTAGAGATCACCGAGAAACGCTTAACTGTCTAACGAAGCTTAGCATTCTACTTGGCATTGGACAGTCGCATGTTTCATTATCGAATTTTTTTTTATGTTTTTTTTTATTCATTTTTTGTTAATAGTCGCGTTCGATCCTTGAAACCGGAAACGGAAGTGTTACATTTTTTTTTTTTGCCTTAGTTAAATAGGTGAGTGTATTTTTATCTATAATTGTGTCACCGCTATGGTTCAGCTCGACTACGCTCTCTCGACTTCGACGGATCTCGGGAGGCTGGTTGAACCCGCAAGCCAATGACGTTGAGAACAGAATCCTTTTTTTAATCTCAGGGCGCTTTAAGATTTTCGAGAATAGTACTTAGTAGGCTGAATTGCGAGATTTGGAGGGCGGAGAAATTCTCGAGACGCCTTGGAATTTCGTCCGGCGATAGTTCATCGATAATCTTATCTCGCAGATTTTTTTTTTACGGAATACATATTAAAAGCATAATATTAAGTATTATATAAAAGAATGGAGAATTTATTTTGTAATTTGTCAGGAGAACGTGAGATTCTGATATTCTTTTCAAAGGTCTGCAAAAGGATAGACGTGTGTTATCTCAAAGAAAATTTTAAGACTTCATCAATTTATAAATATGAAATAAACGCATTCTTCTTGTTCTTGTACGCCAAACTGCTTTATATTGCTATAATTTCGAGACAATTTATTGATCGAATCATTTTTAAGGTTTCACCGGACTTGTCCAAAGCGTGGTGCACTCTGAAACGCGGGGTAATAAGTAATCGGTTTATCTGTGCAACGAAAAATTTCGCCGCGAACGAATTCGTCAATCGCTCGAAACGAAACGTCTGATATGTTAAGATCCGAGATACACTTCATGGCGTTCTACAGTCTTTTTGTGTTGTATACTTTTTTTTTTTTTTAAATAGCCTGGCTCTAGGACAATTCTGGCTTCTTGTGAATTATTATATATATCAATATATATATATATATCCATTTCATTTCTCAAAAATGGCGAACGACACGACGATCTCGCAATTCATCTTCTCATAAGAAAACTGAATGATCTTATCCTCATTTTTCCTTGTTTTGTTTTTTCTTTTTCTATCATGCTTCATTGTCGTTTCGCCTCGAAATCGTGTTGCACGCGTTTTATGAATTCACGGTACCATTTCCGATTTCCGGACCCCTGTGCTCGTGTTCCATTTGTTTTATGTCTCTGCTACCTCGCGAAACCTATCTCTCGATACAAAAACTAACTTCGCCTTTTTGTATGTTTACTTTATTAATTTCTTTTTTTTTTTGTTATGTGTTTCATTTGCTTTGTTAATTCACTTAATTACGCGTCTCACTCTTGTCGCTTAGCAAATAACGTGCACGTCGAATAGCCGCACGACTTAGTTAAATAGGTGAGTGTATTTTTATCTATAATTGTGTCACCGCTATGGTTCAGCTCGACTACGCTCTCTCGACTTCGACGGATCTCGGGAGGCTGGTTGAACCCGCAAGCCAATGACGTTGAGAACAGAATCCTTTTTTTAATCTCAGGGCGCTTTAAGATTTTCGAGAATAGTACTTAGTAGGCTGAATTGCGAGATTTGGAGGGCGGAGAAATTCTCGAGACGCCTTGGAATTTCGTCCGGCGATAGTTCATCGATAATCTTATCTCGCAGATTTTTTTTTTACGGAATACATATTAAAAGCATAATATTAAGTATTATATAAAAGAATGGAGAATTTATTTTGTAATTTGTCAGGAGAACGTGAGATTCTGATATTCTTTTCAAAGGTCTGCAAAAGGATAGACGTGTGTTATCTCAAAGAAAATTTTAAGACTTTATCAATTTATAAATATGAAATAAACGCATTCTTCTTGTTCTTGTACGCCAAACTGCTTTATATTGCTATAATTTCGAGACAATTTATTGATCGAATCATTTTTAAGGTTTCACCGGACTTGTCCAAAGCGTGGTGCACTCTGAAACGCGGGGTAATAAGTAATCGGTTTATCTGTGCAACGAAAAATTTCGCCGCGAACGAATTCGTCAATCGCTCGAAACGAAACGTCTGATATGTTAAGATCCGAGATACACTTCATGGCGTTCTACAGTCTTTTTGTGTTGTATACTTTTTTTTTTTTTTAAATAGCCTGGCTCTAGGACAATTCTGGCTTCTTGTGAATTATTATATATATCAATAT